AGTGTGGTGCCCAGAATTGAACACAGCTGAGACCTAACCAGTTGTCGTACTCTCGCCTCTGAAAAAGTTTGGGTTCAAGCCCCACTTTAGGATTTCTTTGTCAACCCTCTCATTCTCTCCAACTCCCCCATCTCTCTCTCTTCCCTCATCTCACACACACTCTCACTCTATGTATCCCTCATTCTCACATGATCCCTGTCTCACTCTCCCCTCATGCACTTTTGCTTTCTCTCTCTCTCGCCCAGACTCTCTCCCTTCTTCCCATCCCCCTCCTGTGACACTATCTAAGGTATGGGTCACTATATTGTTGTAGTTGTTGTTGATTGATGGGGGATAAATTCAAACCAAATCTGTGGAAACACTAAAAAGACAACAATGACAACAAAATTACATTTGTAAAGCGCCTTTCACGTCGGGAGGATGTCCCAAGACGGTGGAAACAGAAAGTTGATTCTTTCAAAAGCAAATCAGATAGATTTCTTTCAGAAAATAATATCTCGGGATACAGTATATAATTTGGTGCATGACATGTGCATGTGACTCAGGAAGGCAAAAAACTTGGTGGTCTTTCTTCTAGCAATTCTTATGAGATCGGTGGCTGGATATAAAGTGCCAGAGGAAGTGATGTTCATGTGAGAGAGCACTTGAGTTTGTGTGGGTGTATATGAGAAGAATCAGACATTTGTAATACAATACAAAATTACATTTGAGCCCTGATTGAGGCCACACCACTTGGCTATACCTTCCACCATACCCCGCGTCCTAACCGCCATGGCGATGATGTGGCTCTCATCTCCAGGTGCTCACTTGCTCTATCCCCCTATTCCCCCAGCTCATTCAACCCTCTTCGAGCACCTTACCCTCTCTATCATCCCTCCAATCTTTCCCTCAAAATTCTCCTGATTTATTGTCCCGCCAAGCCCTCCTCATCTTCATCTCTAACGCCTCTGCCCTCTTAGTTTCCCTCTGCCTCTGTCCTGAATGCCTCCTTATCCTCGGTGACTTCAACCTGCACTTCACCCCCTCTTGCTCTATCTCCACCGACTTCTCCTCTCTCCTTTCCTCAAATAACCTCTCCCTCCACATGCCCTCTACCACCCACGTTCATGGCCACCCACTTGACCTGATGATTACATAGGGCTTCATTATCTCGGATATCACAATCACAAACAAAGGCATCTCAGATCATAATTTAATCTCCCTTAACTCCTCAATCCCTCTCCCCACCACCATCCAACCCACTGCCATCTCCCACCGCCCCTGGAAAAGAATCTCCCTGCACTGCTTGTTGGCTGCCCTGGAGTCGTCTGAACTCCTCCTCCTCTGGCCTACCACCTGCACCGACATATCTTCCTCGGTCACTATTCTCCACAGCTCCCTCTCCACCGTTCTCGATGCCCTTGCACCTCCTGCTCATGCAACTCACCCTAGTACACCAGACACCTCTGCTCCCTCGAGTCAGGTGCATGTCGCCACGTGGACCTGGCTCAAATCTGATTTATCGGTCCACCAACCACCATCCCCTCCCTCCCTCACACCCATCCTTGCTCACAAACTACCACCCCATCTCCAACCTCCTTTTCCTTTCCAAGGTCTTTGAAAGAGTGATTGATTCCCAGCTTCACTCCTTCCTCTCCTGCCGCTCCCTTTCCAAACCCCTCCATTTGGGTTTTCGTGCTGCCCACAGCACGGAAACAGCCCTGGTGAAGATGACAAATAACATTCTGTCCATCTATGACCAAGGCTCCCTTTGGCTCCTCGTCTTCCTCGACCTCTCTGCTACATTTGACACTGTGGACCACTCTATCCTCCTCCACTGCCACTCCTCTCACCTTAACCTTCAAGTTTCTGTCCTTGAATGATTCAAATGCTATTTCTCACAGCAGCTCCACTTTGTCCTCCTGCACCATCTCGTGCGGTGTTCCTCAGGGCTCTGTCCTCGGGTCTCTCCTCAGCCTGTACATGCTCCCTCTTGGTGACATCATCCACAGACATGGGGTCAACTTCCACATGTATGCAGATGACACCCATCTCTATCACTCTGCCTCCACCCTGTCAGACATCAAGTCCTGGATGAGAGCTAACTTTCTACACTTGACGTCAGCAAGACTGAGACTCTCCTGATTGGCTCATGCCAGCGCCTCTGCACCTCAAGTATTGGCAGCATCAGCATCCATGGATGCACACTCCACTTCAACAAGCCAGTCAGGAACCCTGGCATCTTGTTCGACCCTCAACTGTCCTTTCTCCCCCACATCCATGCCATGACCCCCTCAGCCTTCCCCCACCTCCGCAACATTGTCGGACTCCGTCACTGCCTCACCACTCAGGACACCAAAACCCTCATACATGCCTTCATTACATCCAGGCTTGATTATGCCAATGCCCTGCTTGTCGGCCTCCCCAACTCTTTCCTCCACAAGCTGCAGATTATCCAGAACTGTGCAGCTCATGTCCTCTCTCACACCAGGGTCCGTGTCCCCATCACATTCACCCTTGCCTGGCTCCAGTGGCCCCCCATCCCTCAGAGGATCAAGTTAAAAAATCTCATCCTCATCTTCAAGGCCCTCCATGGCCTTTCCCCCTCCTACCTCTCTGACCTGCTGGCCACTTATCAACCTGTCTGCTCCCTCCACTTGGCAGGCTCTGGCCTGCTCCATGACCCCGCCCGGCCTGCCCCACCATCGGTGGTCGGGCCTTCAGCCTCTCTCCCCCGCCCTCTGGAACTCCATCCCACATTCTCTTCACCTTGCTCCCTCCCTTGGCTCCATCAAGGCACACCTCAAGACCCTCCTCTTTAACTGTGCCTTCAGTCACCTTCTCTACCATCCCTGATCCCAACTTCCACCCTGCTCGGTCCTAATCCCTGACTGTTCAGCGCCTTGGGACGTCCTCCCAATGTGAACATAAAAACATAAGAATTGCTAGACGAAAGAAGAACAAGGTCCATCTAGTGCGCCTTCCACCTTCCTAGTGGTCTCACACACATATGTCCCAAACTACCTATGTACTATATCCCATAATGTTATTTTCTAAAAGATAATCTATGTTTGAAAGAATCAACACTTCCTGCTTCAATCATCTCCCTATGGAGCCTGTTCCACAGATTCACTATTCATTCATTGAAATATTGTTTGCGTAGATTTGTTATGAATTTACAAATTGCAATTTCAATTGCAAGCCATGTCCTCTGGTTTTTCTATTCTGGACAAGTTGAAACATTCTATCATGATCTATATTGTCTAGCCCTTTTAGAATCTTAAAGACAGCAATCTCAATCTTCTGTTTTCCAGCATGAACATGCCCAATTTACTTAGTCCATAGTCCAATCCCTCCATTCCTTCAATCATTTTGGTTGCCCCCTCTATATCTTCTCGATTTCTCCAATATCCTTTTTGTACTGTGTTGACCAGAACTGTGCACAGTACTCTTAAGTTCGTCTCATCAATGATTTGTGCAGTGGTAGGATTACTTACCCCACTATTTCAGCTTCCTATTGATCTTTTGATAAATCCCAACATCTGGTTTGCTTTACTTAATGCCACAGAGTATTGTTGTGAGAGTTTCAATTTATTGTCAATCAGGAACCTCAGGTCCTTTTCATTTTCGGTACCTATTATTTTCCTTCCATTCAAATAATAATCCCTTCCAGGATTTTTTGTCGCTATATGAAGTACTTTACATTTCTCCACATTGAATTTCATCTGCCCAATTCCCAAGTATGTTCATATTCTCCTGTAACCTGTCTCCCCAGCTCCACTATTCAAAAGATCCAGCTCATTCAGAACTCTGCCGCCCGCATACTTACCAAACTCCGTATCCACATCTCACAGTTCTGCCCAGGCTTCACTGGCTCCCCATCACCGAACAGATCGACTTCAAGATTCTCACACTTGTGTTCAAATCCCTTCACTCTCTGGGACCTCCCTATCTCTCCGACCTCCTCACTCCCCAATCCACCACCCGGTGCCTCTGCTCGACTGGCTCTGGCCTCCTGCTCATCCCTCGCACCCTCCATCTCACCATCAGAGGTTGCACTTTCAGCCACTACGCCCCGAAACTCTGGAACACTCTCACTCAATCCCTCCGCCTTGCCCTCTCCCCTTTTTCAAGTCCCACCTGAAAATCTTCCTCTTTACCCGTGCTTACGGCCACCTTCCCCCCCCCCAGCCTAGCTTGGAGTCAGGCTCTGCCATGGTAAGCACTCTGAGGCGCTGTATCAAAGCCTTACTGAAATCCAGATATACAACATCCACAACCTTATCCTTATCAAGCTCCCTTGTCACACCATCAAAGAAAATCAGTAAATTAGATTGGCAAGACCTCCCCTTCATGAACCCATATTGGCTATCATTGGCTGTCGGTGTTTGTGGGGCACTGCTGTGCGCAATTTGCTGCCACGTTTCACCCACAAATATACAGTCAATTCACTTTACAGCATATTCTGTGAAGCACTAGAAGATGTGAAAGCGCAATATCAAATGCCAACTTGAAAATCTGTTCAGCCCTTTTGTAAGTGTAGCTTGGTGCGATGACATTTAATAGTGTGTAATAAGGGTTGCCAAACATCAGGGTAGTTTCACACAGCGTGGGATCTAAATTGCTGGAGTCCTCAAAGAGGAATCTATTAGAATTCCCATTGCTGCAACAACAACTTGCATTTATACCGTGCCTTTCAGTCGGGAGAGCCTTTCGGGAATGCTGAACAATGGTAAGTGGGAAGGGGGAGAGGCCCAGTCAAAAGGGTAGGTGTTAAGGTGGGATTTAAGGTTAGATAAAGCAGGGAGTGAAGGGAAGGCATTGAAAGGCAATTGCTCCGGTAGAGGGGTTGAGGCGGAGTTCTGGTTGGTCAGTGACCTGGGACCCATTGACTTTTGTTCAGAAACATAGTAAGTGAAGCCCTGAAGCCCACTGTGCCTGCTGGCAAGGCTTCGCTGGGTGGTGTGCTTTGAGGTTTTGATGCCTTGTCTTCAATGTTGGTCTTGACTCCTCTCCCACAGGTTGCTAATGCCATGAGGAGTTCGTTGCCCTTTGATGCCCCTGATGTTTCACAGGTCAGCCGGAAATGTTTGCAGGTGGATGTGACTCCCACGGTGCCGAGGATATCCCACACGGCAGTCACCACTGCCTCCATCCGCCGGCACCGATGGAAGAGAGAAGGTAAGCTACCCCTTCAATGATCAAATCCCAAATCGACCTCCCTTCTCCAGCCAGTCTGTTTTGGGCTCTGTCCTGTCTGTCCAGACAATCTGGTTAGTTTAAAGATACACAAGCATCCCCAGTCTGGGCTGGGTTCTACCCTGGGCTGTTGGTAAGCCTGCGTCTGTATTCCAGGAACCAGCCTAGGGGTGGAGAAGTGCAGTGCTTCGGATCGGGCGTTGCTGAGCCCAGTGTTCCAGGCAGTGATGAGTAGGACAATCTATATGTAATAACAGTTGCTCACCCTTGAGTCTCAGTATTCTGGCTCCTGAGTTCACAGTATTCCAGGGCACTGCTGATGACAGCACATCAGTAGGGTTTGGAAAGGCAGACCAGTCACTGGGGACTGGGACTTTTCCTACTTAGCTCCTGTCATCTCTGCAAGCCAAAGTCCAAATAGGTCGGGCAGTCCTAGCTGGGCAAGCAGCGGAAAAGCTTGCCAAACAGCGATATCAATGGCAAGTTATGCAGTTTTAGCTGGTTAGTCTCCAGCAGTTTCCCCAACACACACTCTGGGGTCCCCAAACCTTGGCTCTTGCCAACCTGTGCCTCACAAATAGGTAAGCAGGAGGCGTCCCTCCAGGGAGAGAGTGTGCATTCTATTCCAACAATCTATTTCTGGAATTTTCATGTGTAGGTGGGATGCATAGAATTCTCAGTTTGGTTTGGAGACTCTTAAACATGGTGATGGGTTTCCACATGTGTCAGGCACCCGACTGATCAAAAAAAAGGCTCTGACCGGGGGCGCAGAGGATCATCGTGCGGGTAACCGGCACGTAACCGTGACCTTTTACCCCCTAGTGGGAGTCCTGGTGAGCGACTGTGTCTGTCCTGTTGAGGGCCATCGCTCTCACCCTGTCTGCTAAACCTTCAATTCCTTTCGTCTTTACTTCTATTGTCTTAATTCTGCTCTCCCTCTCTGATCATCATTAACCCCTTCATTGGCGGCAAGAGCCAGAAATCAATCAATCTTCTGTGTTGTGTTGAATCCCAGATTGCTTTGACTTGTCAGACGATGCCGACTCCAGCTCCCTGATCCCCTGCTCGGCTGGATTGGCGGGGGAGTGCGAGTGGAATGGGCATGGGGCACCAGGAGCCTCCCAGCGGAGTCTCCGGGACCCAGCAGCTCCAGCAGAGGGTAGGCCGGAGATCAGGGATCAGTGAGGAGGATGGAAGCACATGGTCCTCTTTGCAGCTTAGGTCCTTTTGTGTCCAGAGGAGGCGGGGAGGGGTGTGAAAATAATCTAGGGTGGGGGGGCTGAGTAAAACTCATCGATCCCCTTTAACACTGGTCAGCCATTGACTTGATTGACAGGTTCATTGGCAATCAAATGTGAGGACTCCCCAACTGTAGCATATTAGTTAGAGTACTTTCCTCACAAGCGAGACGATCCTGGTTCGATTCCTGGGCGGGGTGAAACCTCAGTCATGTTTCCTTACTCCACAATGCCTCTGTTTACCTATCAGTAAGTAGGCACACAGTTGTTAGTTGATTGGTGGATGGTTTTCTGGCAGTAATAATCCCTTTGTTTAAAAAAAAAATAATTTGGTCACTCAATCCACGACTGTTTGTGGGACATCACTATACGCAATTGGCTGCTGAATTTCAAGCACAAAATAAACTTTACAGAATATTCTGTGAAGCGCTTTGAGACGTTTCAATAATAATAATAATAATCCTTGCATTTGATATAGCGCTTTTCATGTCGGGAGGACGTCTCAAAGCGCTTCACAGAACACACTGTAAAGTGAATTGACTGTATATTTGTGGGCGAACGCGGCAGCCAATTGCGCACAGCAATGTCCCACAAACAGTCGTAGATTGAAAATGACCAATTTATTATTGTTTTTGGTTTTGGAGGGATTATTATTAGGCTCTGTGTGGAGTAAGGAAACTTGCCCAAGGTTTCGCCCTCTGCCTGGAATTGAACTCAGGTCTCTCGCTTGCAAAGCGAGTGCTCTAACCACTGAGCTACAGGACTCCACGTGATAAGGCCCTATATCAAGTGCAAGGATTATTATTATTGGCCAATCAGAGGTGAGGATACCCAACAGGAGGGCGAGGGGCCCTGTGGGTGCCACTGGGCAGGGCTGCTCGGAGGACTGGCTGTGGTCTTCAGGATTCAGGGCACCTCCCAGCTCCCCTTAAAAAAGCAACTGTAGACTGATTGGGGAGGCGAGGGTCTGAGCCCGGCTAGCCACCCACCGCCTATTCCTCTTCACCAAGCTGCAGGTCACACTATTGCTGTGCCAGGCCAGGCAGGTCAGCAGCTCTGCACAGAAATTGCGCTTTGTGCTGAACTAGCTGAGGCAACACAGCAGCTCCAATCTCTGCACTTTGAGAGAACTTGGGGTCTATGTGGCTGAACTAAACGACAGTATGTGCTTATCACCCAACGCAACCCTGACTGTATTTCTTCCCCAGCCCTGTGCTCTCCCGCTTACCAGGAGTTGTGGCCCACCCTCCACTGTCACCGTGAGACGCTATGTGCGTCCCCCCCTCCTCTTTGCAACACTTCCTATAGCCCAGGCATTTAAAGGACTGTGCTGAACTTCCGACATGACTAACCAACTGGGGTTACGGTCCTGACTGACTAGGTGAGAGTGCTAAATGGAATGAGATCTATCTTTTCCTTTCCACTCTGTAAGAATGCAGTGAAAGAATGGGGAGCAGCCTTTTCTAAGGAGCTCAATAGATTGCTGTTCACCATCTTGACCCACTGATGTTGACCACCTTGGACAAATTTGGGGATCTTTGAACTCACAACTGTAACCAATGCCAAAATACTACTTTTTTGATTTTACTGTCTAAAGACCTCCTCCCTGTTTCTTATTCACTGAGTGTCAGCAATGTTTGTGGAGACCTATTCCAGCCTGATCCTATCCTCAGCAATTGTGCAATTGGGATGGAGAGGAGAGCTGGAACCATGTGGATGAGATTAGGAAATTCATTAATTGAAGGTGGAGGAATTTTCTTGCTTTATGGCTGATCTAGTGACTGGCTGAACCACTTGTTATCGGACGATCAGAGGGCTTATCGGGCTGAGTTCCTCTGTGCCATGTTACCAATAACCTAAGGGTGTGCATTAAATGGGCAATAGTCCGTGTCAACCCGCTAGTTTGAGAGATGGCAGACCAAGCTGTTGGTCTTGGGATCTCTCTCCTACATGCTCTCCCTGTCTGCTTTGTCCACTCGCAGTGTCATTGTCCTTGCAGGTTCACCGCCATGGATAATCTTGGGCTGCCTGAGAGTGCAGGGGGAAGTGGGCTGGATAGCTTCAACTGCATGATGAAGTCTCTGTTGAAATATTTATTAATGTGGTCTCACTGTCCTGTCTTCATAACCCTGGCTGCTGAAATGATGCGATATCAGTGTGGGGAGGGTGCAGACTTACCAGCTGGTTGAGCGGCCACTTTTGCCGTTTCCCATAATTCGTTTCTCAACTTGAGACCATGTGGATGTGTGATTGGCTAAAACTTTAGAAGTTTAAAAGTTTATTTAAACTTTGTGCGGAAAGTTTAGAAATTAACTTCAGTCCTGTGAGATTGATGAATACTTCATTCAACATCCTCCACACCCCTTTGGAGATACTGGCGTGACCGTAACTGAGAGACAAGCTTCCCTTTAAGAAGTCATTACAAAGAGGTTCTCACTCATATGATACCCCTGTACCCAAATACAAATTATGTCAGCCCACCCAAAACCTCCCCCCCCACAACACACCAAATAAATTTCAACACCTTTTGCCTTCAAATGCAGTGTAGCTTTGAGCTTCGTCCATTCACTCATATGTTCCTGTACTCTGGGTGACATCATTCTTCTTATCTCTGTCCCCTCCCCACAAACAGGCAGGCAGCTCTTGAGAAGCATTGACTTTTAGAGAGAATTACAGCCCATCCATTGGCTGACCTTAAGGTCAAGGTTTTGCTCTATCCCTTCCTCGCCAGACCACCAAGTCCATCTGGTCCACCTGGCACTACCGCTCCCCCATCCCCGTGTGTTAGCAAAAGTTAGAAACAGAAGGTCTTTCGGCCTTGTGACTAGGCAATGAATTGTGACCCAGATAGCAATGAACCCATCCCTCTATATTGTATCATGTAAAAGCTCCCTGCTCAAAACCCTTCGCTGATTAGAGATTGTACTTGTATCCCTTTATCTGACGTCCTCTCCCGCCCCCCTCACTGGCCCCACCCCCCCACTGTCCCTGCCTCCTCTCAGTGTCCAGTCCCCCCTCACTGTCCCCATTCCCCCATCATTTTCCCCACCTCCCTCCCCACCCTCAGTGTCCTGGAGTCAGTGAGATCCAGGCACTGGCAGGGGTGTAACAGTACCTGGTTTATTGATCCCAACCTGGTTTTCTCCGAACGTTGTTCCTAATCGGATGTTATACAGGATGCGTGTCCTTCTCCTGCTGTCCTCTCCCTTCCCGTCCCACCCATCATGTTGGTCTGGTGCCGTCTGAGTACCGGGCTGCCGAGTTTCCAGGTTATTGGGTAGGAAATACAATATTTACATATTTATGTTAAATTTATGCAGTTTCACATTGGGAGGACGTCTCAAAGCACTTAAATGATGTATCATAGAAGTCCTTTGCCTTGCATAGTGTACATGGTCCCGTAAAAATCAACCCTGGCTCCACAGTTAGTACGCTGCTGGCCTGGCTCTGTTGTGCGTTGGAACAGGCAGTTGAGTGAGGTGATGAGCCCCTGGGGGTAGGCCTTGGAGGGTGATGCCTTTTCTCATCCTCTGAGAGCAGTGCCCTCCAGAAATGTGTGGAGGGTGGTGAGAAATGGAGAGAAACAGACAAGGTAGGTTATTCGCTGTCTCAGTCTCACCTGCAGGATTTATAAACGACAGATGTCAACCACTCTGTGCCTCTTTCACTCTCTCTGCCTTTAGCGGTTTGTATGTCTCTCTCTCCCTCTGCTTCTAGCTCTCTGTGTATTTGTGTTGTGATGTATGTGTGTATCTGTATTGTGTGTATCTGAAGAGGTTGAAAGAGGATATGCTCGAACTGTTTAGGACAACAGAGGAAAGTTAGATTAATAAAAAGATTCTAGTTGACCATAAAGGACCATCTGAACTTGCATTCGCCTTTAAAAACATCCAATCAATTAGCTCCACTTTCTGGGCGGGAAATTCCACTTCTTACCATGATCCAGTTAAACAGTGTAGTGTCGTTAGTTATAGATGCAGTATAATTAAATAGTTACAGCTTTGGTTTAGTTGTTTAGTTTGGTGTGGTAAATTTACTTATGCTGATGGATAATGGGTTTTCACATGTGCCAGGCTGACCAAAAAATAAACCTAGATGTTGTTTAGTTAAGCGGGTACAATGTGATATAGGTCAGCGGTTACAGTGCTCTAAGACTATCCTGTGTGAAGTGTTCTGTATTAATGCAAGTTTTTGTAGTTAATGCTGTTTGTGGTCTGAAAAGAGACAAAGCTTGGCAGACATTGTCTGTGTCCATATCTGTACCTTTGTGTGCCTCTCTATGTGTTTCTATGTGTCTCTCTATATCTGTGTGTGTGTGTGTGTGCGCCCTTCTGTCTGGTCTCTCTCTATCTTTCTGTCTGTCTCACTCCTTGTGTGTGTCTGTGTGTGTCTTTCTCTGTCTTGCTCTCTGTGTGAGACTACCCTTCTCTGTATGTCTGTGTGCATCTGTATTTGTGTTGTGGCTCTCTATGTGTGTGTGTGTGGGTGTGGGTGTGGGTGGGGGGGTGTCAGGTGTTTATGTGTCTCACATTCAGTCGGGTGCCAGTCGGGTTTGCTCAGTTGTGCTGAGGTCAACCCTGCGTCTCTATCCCGCAGAGCAAGGTGGCCTGAGTGGAGCAGAGGAGTTTGTGGGGCTGACCGATGCAGACGAGGGCTTCTCGTCAGGGGCCTCCAGCAGCAGCCAGCCCAGCAGCAGCCTGAGGGGCAGCGGCAGGAGGGGTGCCGGGAGTCGGACAGGGAGGGAGAGAGATCAGCCCACGGCCTACAGACCCGAGAGCCCGGCCGAGGTCAGGAGCCGACCCCAGCTCCCGCGAACGGCCCCAGAATCTATGGAGATGAAGCTGCTGTCTCTCCCCAGTGACCAGCTTGTGACTAAGCCTGGAGCTACCTGCCTGGCCAGGACCGTCAGCGCCTCCGTCAACAAGCTATTCGACCACATGAATGGCAGTCAGGCCAGCGGGTCCCCAGAGGTCAGCTCCAACCTCATTGGCACCAACTCTAACCGCTTCTCCACCATCAGCCTCCAGGAAGAGAGGCTTGGCCGGGCCACTGAACTCGCGCCCCCTCTCACCAAGCAGTCCCGTTCACCCAGCTTCAACATGCAGCTCATCTCACAAGTCTAGGGGTGCGGGGTGAGGCAGGCTTTAACCTCCCCTTACACCCCCTCCTCGAGGTGAGGATCTGCTGTGATGTCCAGTCGGTGTGTGAATCTGACCAGTGCTCAGTGACTATTGCTCACTCACTGCGCTGGTGGAGGAACCTGTGAAACAGCAATAAGCAGTTGGGGTAAGGCCTGGAGGGTGGCGGGAGGAACGGGTGCAGTCAATATCACTCCCCCAGACTGGCCATCGGGTCTCACCTGTCTATATGACTCAGACCCCCAGCACTTTCTGAGACACTGAAGAAATGCAGCAAACAAATATAGTCTGAACTGAACCCATAAAATACACAACATTTGTGAAGCGCTTTGAGGCATCTCAACGACATGATAAGGCGCTATATCATATATATATATATATATAGCAAGGATTATTATTGTTGTCAGTGATCTCCTAATGTACTCTTTCCCTGCAAGAAACTACAGATTCTCTCTCCCATGGTCTCTCTCTGGCCACCCATTTGCCTCTTTTGGCTGGAATCTGCAGGAAGAGATTCACAAAAGGACTTGCCAAAGAAAGTGTTGCTCTCACTTTTGCTGCTAAGTTGGAATTCTGTTTCAGCGATGTTTTGCTTTCACTGTAAGCTCAGGGTGAAGGGTGTAAGCACAGGCTGGTCACCTACCCCTCCCCTTCTCTGCATCCTGGTACCTACCCATCGCTATTCTCTGCAGTACTGGGCGCGGGCCAGCTGATCTAAGGTGCAATATAAAGTTATGCAGGATTTTTTTGGCGGGAAAAAATTGAGTCTACTTGGAAACTGTTTAAAGGTGGGATACAGTGTGTAGCCGTGGGGTTGGTGAGGTGGGGAATAATATCCCCTCAGTGTGTGTATCACATTCTGCATCGCTCAGACAGTAAGTCAGCGGCTGGAACAGGTCCTGGAGATTGTGGGGGAGGTTTGAGGGTCAGGATTGTGTGGGTGGTCAGACCCACTTCTCACACATTTCCTATCAGGTGTGATGAGTGAGAATGGTGCTTCTGTGTTGCAGGTTGTGTGTATTTACTGTAAATCTGTTTACAGACTGTGCTCCGGGTGTGACACACTCGCAGGAACTGAATTTAGCTCAAAGTCTGTTTCATATATTGAGGGGAGCACGGGGTTTCCTGAGCTTTGAAGTCTTATATGAATTGAGTAGAATTCTAGACAAATCGTGTCTGGACATGATTTAAGTGATCACTAGATGTAATCAGTATAGTTAGTTATGATTCATAGATGCACTTTTACAGACCTTTATTTGGGCGTGTGTTGGTTAAGGATTGAAATTGAATGATTGTATGAGCTACTCTGCTGGTGTTTCTCTGTGTGGGTGTCTTGCACTCTGTATTCACGTGTCTTTTTTGTGTATGGGTATGTGTTTTCTCTTTGTATGTCTGTCTCTATTCATGTGTTTCTCTCTGTACAGGTGGAGTGTGCATGTTGCAGGATGTGTTTCTCTCTCTGTTAGGGTTCTCTTTGTAGGTGGAGGGGTTGTATTTTCTCTGTGTGCAGTGTGTTTGGAGGTGCTGCTGTGTCGGGGCAACTCTTTACAAACACTGCACTTGGGTTCTGTGAGTCGGTTCCTCGGCTTACTTACTGCTGTTGTCCCAGCTTTGGCCCCAGCTCACGAGTGGGGAGGTCACTCAAACACCTTCTGTTCTGGGGAGAACTGGACTACATTATTGCACATTTTAACTGTGGTTGTGTCGGCGTGTGCATGTCTGTCTCTCAACGTTGCCTGGGGGGAGCGGGGGGGTGTTGGCTGCAGAGAGTGGGGGGGAAGTTGGCTGGGGGGGAGAGAGGGGGGGATTGGCTGGTGGGGGAGCGAGGGGGTGTTGGCTGGGGGGAGCAAGGGGGATTGGCTGGGGAGCGAGGGGGGATTGGCTGGGGGAGCGAGGGGGGGTTGACTGGGGGGGAGCGAGGGGGGGTTGACTGGGGGGAGCGAGTGGGGGGTTGGCTGGGGGTGGAGCGAGGGTGGGGGGGATGGCTGGGGGGGAGCGAGGGCGGGGTGGTTGGCTGGGTGGAAGGAGAGGGGGGGGATTGACGGGGGCGATTCCCCCAGCCATGGAGTCTTGTAGCTCAGTGGTAAGAGCGCTCGCCTTGCAAGCGAGACACCTGGGTTCAATTCCAGGCAGGGCGAAACCTTGGGCAAGTTTCTCTACTCCACACGCCTAATAATAATCCCTTCAAAACAATAATAAATTGGTCATTTTCAATCCACGACTGTTTGTGGGACACTGCTGTGCGCAATTGGCTGCAATGTTTCACCCACAAATGTACAGTCAATTCACTTTACAGTCTATTCTGTGAAGCGTTTGAGACGTTCAGAAGACGTGAAAAGCACTATATCAAATGCAAGGATTATTATTACATCTGCTGTTTCCTCTGGCTGAGGGAGTGGATGATCTGCTTTTTCCTCTGGCTTAGGGGTGGATGATCTGCTGTTTCCTCTGGCTGGGGGGTGGGTGATCTGCTGTTTCCTCTGGCTGGGGGGTGGGTGATCTGCTGTTTCCTCTGGCTGGGGGGTGGGTGATCTGCTGTTTCCTCTGGCTGGGGGGTGGGTGATCTGCTGTTTCCTCTGGCTGGGGGGTGGGTGATCTGCTGTTTCCTCTGGCTGGTTTAATTAACTCTGGCAAACCAGTGGTTTCTTTAAGCCTTGATTTAAAACCGTGCTTGTGATTGCAGCTGACTGCCTCTGGAGGCTAGAGCTTTGCTCAGGCAGGTCTATGTTCATAGACCTTTGTTTGGCACAGATGTGTAACTGGGATTTGCCTCTGTCCTTATGTCTCCTCCTCCCCCTTCTCTGCCCCTCCTCACCCATGTGTGTCTGGAGTTCAAGCTGTGTGTGTGCTGGGCCAGGTGCTGGATTTTGATCACAGATTCTTCTCGTTTGGGGAGCTTTTGTTTTAAGACTAAGATTGTGAGATTTGGAAGAGGGGGGAGGAGTAGAGAAATTCTCCAAAAAATAGGAATAAACTTTGCAATCTTTGCTTAAAATGTCATCAAAAATCACAAAGGAGAGGGTTCTTTTTGGAGAGTTACACATTGCCGAGCATTCATAAGAGCTGCTCACTGTGATCAAACTGCTTTGTGTACTTTGCTCATCGGAAAGAGGGATCTGGGATCACGGTGACTATCAGGGAATGGGAATATAAAGCAATATGTTCTTATCGCTCTGAGACACCATCTGGCGCCATCTGGGTGTTATATAAATGCAACTTGTTATTATCACTGCTCTGGGGATTGCGAGCCTGTACCCTTGTTCAAATTCAGGCACTGAATTTAAGTAAGTAAGCAAGTCCTTGGAATGAGCCACGGGTTGATCTGTGCTGAATTATATTTTAAATTATTTGTTCAACATCACATTCCACACGTTAAAGGCTGCATCCCGGAGGAATCGAGACGTTTAGTCGCATGAGATGCTGTAACAATGCAAGTTCTCTGTGTATCAGAGGTTACCAGCGAGAGATGGTGTCTGACTGAGCTCAGTCCCTGCCTTGAGGCCGCAGGTAGGTTGGACTCTTAACTGCTCGGCCAAGCTAGAGTCATGCCCAGTGTGTTTTTTAAATGAAAGAACACATTTTATCAAAATGCTTTCGAGTGTTTGCGTTTACACATCAGATAAACCTTTCCGGCCCCGTTAACTTTGTAAAGGACTCGAGATGAGTTGAAAGCAGGATGATCACTGCTCACTCCAGTGGACAATCTGGGTTTTATATTATAGAATTGTACAGCACAAAAAGAGGCCATTTGGCCCATCGAGTCTGTGCCGGCTCTTTGACAACAGCAATGTAATGTCAATCCCACTCCCCAGCCCTTTCCCCATAACCCTGCAAACCCGTCCTCCTCAAATACCCATCCTCCTTAAAAGTTGTTATCGAATCGGCCTCCACCACCCTTTCAGGCAGTGCATTCCAGATTCGAACAACTCGCTGCGTGAAAACATGTCTTCTCACCTCCCCTCTGCTTTTAGAGATTAATTTAAATCTGTGATCTCGAGTCACCGACACACCCACCAGTGGGAACAGTTTTTCCCTTTCTAACCTATCAAATCCCCTCATGATTTTGAAAACCTCTATTAGGTCTCCTCGTAACCTTCTCTGCTCCAATGAGAATAATCCTAACCTCTCTTGCCTTTCCTCATAATCAAGGTCCCTCATTCCTGGTACCACCCTCGTAAATCTCCTCTGCACCCTTTCCAATGCCTTAACATCCTTCCTATAGTGTAGTGCCCAGAACTGGGCGCAGTATTCTAACTGAGGCCT